GCTATCCTTAGGTATCTATCCCTAAAGAATCCTAAATATTGTTTACAAGAATAAGGGGAGAGGGGTGTCTGTTGCTTTTTCCAACTTGGGGAAATTAGTGGGGTTTATATATCTGTGAGCTAAGCGACTAAGTGACTGAGCGACTAAGCGACTAAGCAACTATATAGTTAAGCGACTAAGAGACTAGGCGACTAAGCGACTAAGCGACTGAGCGACTAAGCGACATGTTAATTATAATACAGGATAATAATAATAATATTCTAAGATAATAATTAATAAATAATAAATAATAAATAATAAACTAATAATTAATTCATTCTATAACAACATGTAATTATACTGATATATATATTAGCTTTAATATGTTATTTACTACAATTTGCATATATAATATAATTAAATAAACTAGTGCTCAGCACAATCAAACAAAAATTTGATAGTCAAATACTTGTAATTAAGTCGAACATTAAACAATTACAGATTATATATACACATGTATACACATATATATGTAGTATTAGTTAATTTACTATTAGTTGGTGTCCGGCTTAATTATAAGTATTTGACTATTAAATTTTTGTTTGATTGTGCCAAATATTAAAATGAACAAAAAAAGTAATAATAACCTGTTAGATAAAAACCTGTTTCTCAAAAACACACTATTATTATAGATTATTTGGCACTATTATCATAAAAAAGAATTATTTAGTATGTACATATGTATATAAAACTTATAAACAAAGCTTTTACTTATTATCTTAATTATAAATAATCATAGTATGTACTAAAAACTTGTTGAGGTAATTATTACTTACATGTACATATGAATATATATTATCTGTGCATAGATATTATGTAATTGTATTGTAGATCAAAAACTTCACCCTGTAACCAATAGATTAATTAACACCCACATCATAGAAAAAGATTATTTGGCACCATTATCTCCAACTCTGAGAATACAGTTTAAGTAACATGTATATTATAATTGTCTTTAAAATTTTCTTTTAATGATTTTGGCACACAATGATCATGAGCATTTACGAATATCATACGAAAGCAACTTCTATAAGTTATTATAATCAACCAATATATATATAAATCTTATAGCATGTACTGTATATATATATATATAATTTATAAGCAAAGACTTATTTATTATACGTATTACAAAAAACTTGTCATGATGATTATTAACAGGATTCACAGGTATTGCTGTAGAACCTTTACTTGTTATGTCAATTATAAAAATCCTTATAATTGTAAGTATTAACATCTTATTTTAAAATAAAGTTCTGAAAATAAAATCACAGGTTCATATATATATATACAGTAAATATTAATATATAATCTGTTATACACACATATGTATAGATATTATATAATTGTATTGCAAATTGTAAATAAATCAAAAATGTCACATTGTTACCAATAGATTAATTAGCACCCACATTATAGAAAAGGATTATTTGGCACTATTATTTTTTAACTATGCCTTATTAGAGAATAGTACTATATCTGTGCAATATCAAAGAGCTGTGCTAGCTAAATTGACTAAATTGGCGAAGTTATAGCTAGTGCTAGCTAACTTTGTCAGTATTATGTTCTTTCAGAAATCTATTTTTTTGGATTTTGACCCAAATTTATTTTCTTTATATAAATAAAAAAAGCATATAGCATATCCTGCCATGAATAAGCACCCACTTTTTGCAATTTTTATATGCAAGTTTCCCATAATCAAATAATCAGATCTGTATAATTTTGGTATTATTTGAATCAGCATATTGAAATAATTTGAATGATACCAAAATTATACAGATCTGATTACTAGATTATGAAAAACTTGGATATGAAAATTGAAAAAAAGTAGGTGCTTATTTATAGCAAAATACAGTAGTCACAAAAACTAAAATGCTTATATCTCATGATTACCAGGCCAATTTTAACATTTTAACTACCATTCTGATCACAAGACACTCTTCTACAATTTTACTTAGAAGTTGAAAGGGGATTTGTTTAGTAAAAAAAAAACTTTTTTTTAAAAAACTCCACCAAAGACAGAATTTGGGATTTTGCCAAGGTTTGGGATTTAATCAAGGTTTGGAATTATGACAACTTAAATGGGATTTTTCCAGTTAGGATTTGGGTTTATCCAATTAGGATTTGGGTTTGGGTGGGATTTTGAAGATTTTTAATTTTGCCAACAAGTATAGCTGGAGTCTGCAGCCTGCAACAAAATTTTAAATTTTTGTAAATATATATATGCACAATTAAAATATTTATATAATCCACAGATAGTTTTCTTTTTATTTTTTATTTAGTTGCAGGTCCACAAATAATTTAAGCTGAATTACAAACAATGTTTGTAATTAACTAATCAACCATATAATTTATAAATTCAATTTTTTAGTAGAAAGAAATTTACCAATTAAAGTAGATTTAAGCTTTGAGTAAATTAACGATCATGAAACTAGAAATTTTGGATGATACAAATATCGAACTTCAGTTAATAACAAACACCTAAAAGGGTAAACTCCTGATGAAAGACAAAATATATTACTAAGGTGATATACAAAATTTATTCAAGATATGCATTAAAAAAACTCTGTGCAAAGATTTGTTGATGTTGATTACACAATTTAGATTTGATGCGGCAAAGATTTTTCAGTAATTAAATAGATATACCTTGAAGACAGTGTTTGTTACTGGACTGGGCTGGACTGTTCCCTTGACCTTTACTTGTCTGGACCATCCAAAATGGAACTATATAAATTGGAACTGGAATTTGATCAGCAACTCCTTTTTCAAAAGACCCAAAATCATCACAATATGAATCGCAAAACACTTTAGCACATAAACTCAAAATTTTAATTAATATTTTATCAAAAAAAAAAAAATTCTATTTGATACATAAAAATTCTTAAAAATCGCCTCTTGAAAACTTTGATCAAGAATTTCTTTTTTGTTCTATGATTTTCAATATCAACCACCTTACTGAATCATGTTAATTTATTGTATTTCGTCATCAGGAATTTCAATATAATCAATAGGTTGACTTGTTGCCATTACTAAAAAACAAATATATTATAAATAAAGTCAAAATCCAATTTGGAAGATATAAATAAATATAATTACCCGCATTTACTATATTCACAAATTCAAAAATTTTTATAATTATTAATATTCTAATAATTTTTTAAAATATAAAGAAAAAGGCTGCGTAAATAGAAACAGGCAGAAATCTTTAAATATATTGATATTCCTTAATGCTATTTAATAATTTTACTGTCAAAAGAAAGCTTAGATATTAAGCTTTTAAATATGAGCTATAAAAGTTAGTCGATAATTTTTTTTTAAAGTCTGTTTGCTTGTTTCTACTAACAACAACCCATATATTATTTATTACCTGGTTTAGGGAGACTTTGAAATTTTAAAAGTCGACTGGTATAAATAGCTTGTTTGTGTGTCTGATAATTGATTCGTGCTGATTTTGCTTGATTATTATATATTGAAGTATTTTTAGCTAAAATTTTAATTTCCTCAATTTGTTTGTATAATTCAGTTTTTTTGTTTTTAATATCTTTATAATACTTCTCAAACATATTTTTTAATTCTTTAGCAGTTGGTCTGTTTTGAGGTTCCGCATCCAAGCATTTATTCATCAAATCCAAAAACAGTCTGGGGACTTCGCATCCAATTTCAGGCCTGAGACCGCTGCAAATCTTAAATGCAAGGTCTCTGTCATGAGGAACATCATAATACGGAGGATACCCAGTAAAAACTTCCGACATAATTATTCCGAAAGAATAAATATCTGATTTTTGAGTGTACTCTTTTCCGTCTGTATATAATACTTCTGGCGCGATATAAGGAAGCACACCAAAAAGTTCTTTAGAATTTGAATCTTGTGACACTGGCTTACATAAGCCAAAATCAGTAATGTAAGAACTATACATATTTTGATTAACTATATTTCCGGAATG